GGCAGGGTGTTTCGCGGTGCGGCAAAGTCGCTTCCACGTCACCAGGCGGCGTTTTGTTGCGTCCGTCGAATGCGTGCGGTTGTTACTGGTTGTTACGGTCACCGTCGTCACCGCTGCCCTCCTCGGCCTCTTCTCCGTAGCCAAAGGCCTGTTCTACACCGCACTGCAACGCGCTTTGCCCTTTCTGGTCGATGCTACTGCATTGTCCCAAGATGTGTTCGACAGTCTCCTCGTCGCCGCCACAGAGCCCGTAGTTTGGGTCATCTCCATAGAGCTCAAATCTGCGTCTCTGGGTCAGTAGGGAGCCTGGAACAGCAGCGCGCTGGCTCGGTCTCCCCGGTAGTGTGGATAGGGTGCTGGTTCTTTCCGGAGTCATGCGGGTTAGAGAAGCTCGTTTTAGCGAACGCCGTTTTACCGACCCCAGTTTATCGAATCGCTTTGTAGAGAACCCAGTTTAGAGAAAATGGCGATGAGCTTCCTTTTAGCGAATTCGGCCGCCGCGAAGCGGCGTGTACGGGTAAATCAGGCGAGTTAACAATTTTGTAATGAGCCGCCGTAGACTGCCGCCGCGAAGCGGCGGGAGCGCAGCAGGGGGCTTGGGTTAACACGCGCACCAGTGATGCACGCGCGAAGTAGGAAAGCCGTTTTTAAATATTGTTCCCTTTTCGATAAACGGCGTTTCTCTAAACTCAGTCTCTTCTTTCTCTAAACCGTGCTTCGATAAAACGAGCCCGTTCTCTAAAACGTGCTTCGATGAAATGGCATTCGATCAACTGTAGTAAACCCGGTTCTTTCTTGTGTTTCCTGTACAGTTGGAGGCTCTGTTTCTTCTGCATTGTCCTTCTCCAGTCCTCTATTCCGGCCCGTGTCACCTCTGTCCGTATTGTCCTCGCCCACTCCCGTTCCGTCGTCGCCAGATGCCTTATTGTGCCCCCACCGTACTTAGAATCTATGGCCTTTATTCTCTTCATCCAGCCTGTCTTGAACCCCTGATATCGGATGTGGTAGTACTTTGGTAGTACATCCTTCTGGCGTAGCTCTCCTTGGGAAGGAACTTTAGTCTGCCTTATATATATATTTTTTTTTTTTTAAATCTAGGTGGCGCAAGCACCGTCCATCCATCCAAACACAATGGCGCTGCCGTGCAGTTTCGGTTTTGGTTTCGCTGTGCCGCCATATTTATTTTAGTACAGCCACCAGATACCAGGGGATTCAAATGGCGCTGCGGCCTCCAGGGTTTTCCAATTTGCGTTCCATGGGCGGTATAGAAAGTTGCACTCCCCTGTTTTGACAACTAGACACGTGACCTTACCAAATCCTGAGGCTTTTACTCAAAACTAAGACAACATTTGTACTTTGATCGCTGTAGAAAACATGATAATCTGGTGAAAAGGTTCGTCGAACCGGTTCGACCCAGTTGAACCCCGAAAGTTAGACCAAAAAATCTGGTTCGACAAAAGTTCGCGACACCCGTAGGTACAACACAAAGTGAAACGGAGTATAGACAGGGTTTCCGATTGGGCTTGGTGTTTTGTATGCAAAATGCATAACAGCAACAATCAAGTTGGTGATGACTAGGGGTGTTGCGAACCAGCCGAGGTTCGAGTTCGACCAGGTTCGACTTTTGCTAACCTCTTGTGAAAATTTCGACGAACCTTGTATTGAGGTTTGACACGTGTGCGCATGCGCGACAGGCTGGCAATTTGGATTCGGATTGGATGGTAATGGCTAAAGGGCACCGCTGATTTGTTATTTCTGTTAATACAGTACAAAAAAATTATGTTATTAATGTCTTCAGTGATTAGAATTGGTTTCTTTTAATTGCAAGTGCTCATAAAATAAAATAACCCTTTGCATAAAAATAAATTCTCCAAACCTATACATGCGTGTATCAAGGTCTGGCCACACTGTCCGCAAAGTCGAACCAGTCGAATCTGCATGGTGAAAAGTTTCGAAGGTTCGTCGAACCCCGAAAGTTCGACCTAAAAATCCGGTTCGACAAAAGTTCGCGACACCCCTAGTGATGACGTGTGGTTACTGAATTCGTATGTGAAGCTAATAAAAAGATTATTTAAAAAAAAATGTGGACTTTTGGAGCACGAAAAAATGTACGAAGTGTGTAGCGTTACGTCAGACGTAACCGAAGTTACGTCCAAATCTCCGCCTTCCCTAGGTTCACGGGCGAGAGAGAGGAGGGCGGGGGGGGGGGGGGGGGGGGGGGGGTTAGGTATAGGCGTTTCAGTGCTCCGTCCGGACGTAGCACTAGCCACAGCGAAAAACGTAATGTGTTGAAATGTATTTTTTACCAGAAGTAAACTAATGATAATAAAAACAAAACTGCAGGTGAACTGGGGAACGTTTTTCATAAAGTAATTAATCTGAAACGGAGACACGAAGACGAGAAATTAAATGCAGAAAAGACTAAAAGAGGCGAAGACGCCGCCTAGACCGAAGCGCACAAGTTTTGATTTAACCGAGTGCAGGCAAACTTAGCAAACTTAAAGCATAATTTTCAGTAAGGGACACATGCAGCTGTGAAAGCTTCATGCACACATATACTTGCATTCATTCACACTACGAATAGAAGCTTCAAATTGTATATTCTCAGGTCGGCCCACTCGTCGTGAATCTGTGAAGTCGCAACTCACAGCGCTGCAGCCTTTGCTCTAAGTGGTGTTGACAAAGCCCTTTCTGGTGGGGGCGTCGTCTGCTAGGCTATTCCGTTGACCACACACAGCCCTTGCTTTGTAGCAAAGGAGGGCAGGGCGCTTGCGATGTCGAAGTGCATGGGCGATACGCCCCTCCTCTTGAAATGCGTTCAAAATCCTATTGACATTAGCCTGTGTAACCCCGACTTTTTTCTATATCCCTTTGCGTCATGCCGCCCATCGACATTCTCACAATGCGTTCCCGTGTTTTTATGGGCCCTCGAGGAGGCATAAAAATGTGCGCACGCCCACTGGTCAAAGAAAACCAACCTCGTTGAAGAAAACTGTGACTACTTGGCTACATGATGACAGCAACAATGCAGTTGATAATACAAAACACCAAGCCAAATCGAAAACCCCGTCTATACTCCGTTTCACTTTGTGTTGTACCGCAGCCGACGCTACGAGTGTTATCTTGGCCAGTTCATCGCTAAAAGTGTGTCACGTGGCCTTCCCATTGGGTACAACTGCACGGGAAAGTACAATGTCACGTGTCAGGGTGAAAGCAATGGATTGGTTTTGATGCCTCGCAGCATTGTCTGCGGTATGTAGTTTAATTTATCGTTGCATTCAGTTTGTCGTGTCACTGTATTTTTCATTTTTGTTGGTGTTCACAAAAGTAAACACAAACATGAAATGAACAAAAAAAGTAAATTAAACTCAAGATGACACACGGTTTATGCCACGCCTAAGCAGTATCACACAAGCAAGCGCTGTTCAGATCTTTGCTTAAAGACTGTTAGCTATGCCAGCAGATAATGAACAGGGGCTGTGTGCGGTCCACGGAATAGCCTAGCAGACGATGCTCGCAACAGAAAGAGCTTTACGAGAAAGCGCTTAATCTCTCCCGTGACGCCGCATTTCTTCGCGGCACAGCGCTGGTTGTCCCGGCAGTCGACGCTGGCTTGAAATTATTAAAAATTTGGGCCATTGCACATGTCCATTTCAAGACGCGCTGCACGCCAGTAGCCGAGTTAAGTTGAAGGGAAAAATATACAGTGGAATAGAAATAATATGTATGAACTGGATGTATCAAATAATGTGTCTATAATATTTGATATAATCAACGCGAGAAGAAAAATGTGCCATATACATGCCACAACATATATTTGATGTTTGTGTTTATAGTGCAAGGTCAGCCTACCTTTGAGGAGCGGCGACACTGGTTTGTTCTGTAGTGGAGAAAGTTTGGCAGTGCTGTACCCACTTGCTAGCCTGGGGTCTTTAATGTGCATTACACAGGAGCAGGATGTATGTTAAAGTAGTGCTGAAGACAAAACATACTAATTGCATTAACGTTTTTGCGTGGTATTACCGACTCGTCCAATTAATCGCAGTGCAAGTGCATTGCGACCTTGCGCTTTTAGTGTATGCATATGTATTGTGTAGACTTCCAAGCTCCATGCTTTGCACAATGCTAAGGCTTGTTCAAATAGGTGCTATAGAGCCGTGAGGAATAATACAACTTAAATTAACTTCTTTAGCTGTTTCCTAAAATATGAAACAAAAATGTTGAATGAAGCTCCAGAGTAGCAATTCACTAAAACTTCAGAGAGCACCCAAGTCAACAAATCACTTGGGACCATTTTGTCCAGCTTTACGCTTGGTACCATACTGTCCAAAACCACTTTGTCCTACACCCGACGCCGGCATCTTGGTGCTTAGTACAGAGCAGATGCAACTGCCGATCGTCAAGATTCGAAAGTGCGACTTCCTCAGCATTAGATTCGGTGTTAGGAAACTCGTGTAATATTACTTTGCTCAGTCATGAACTGTTAAAACATTTGTAGAGGACGAAAAAGCATTCTTTTGAGACTTCAGACAAAGCTTCAGGTAGCAACTAAGATTTTTGAGCCCCAAGATGGGCAAGCATTACTCTGAAGCATAGCTTTTGGTGGCTCTAGTCTAGAGGATGCCATCCTTTGTTGTACCCCATGCTGACAGCACATGCTAAAAAAAATTCAAAGAAATCTCCGTAAAAAAAATGTCGCCATACCACAGTCAGAGCGAAGAGTGCGTGCAGGGACAGATTTTCACAAGCTTCAAAACAGAGGAAGGAAAATAAGCGATCAGAACATTAACGACCAGATGTCATCACCCTAAGCAAAGCGCACATAAAGGCACCCCAGTTTGATGGACTTTTCACATTCGTGCCAGACTGGCGATGAACAAGTATTCAAATATATATATTACTTATTCCAAATTACGAGTTTACCTTCTAAAACGAGCATGGGTGTTCTGGGCTGTAGACTTGCAGGTTTCGAAACCATGTACACGAACAGAACGAAGTGGTACCATGTTTTCTTATACTTTTTATTCTGCACGTTTAAAAATTCACATATATAATCTAAAAATAAAATGACAGTAAAAATCCTGGTATAATAAATACCAGTCCAATTGGCTTGAAGGCTGCATGCTTACAATAGGAGCAGCGACAGGTGTATGCGAAATCGGATCAGTGCGCAGTTCACGGAAACAGGTTTTCCTTATGAGAAGCAAGAGGGGGCTTGAGAGAGCAACGTTTGACTTCAAGCTCCAGCTTTTGGATCAGCTTCATCTGCTTGAGGTTTTGCTCCTGCAGTTTGAGGACCCCCTGCAAGAGCAAGAATATGGGCACGTGAGATGGCGTTTCAAACCAAAATAGTCAAGGCACGAGACACACAACACCTCTGAAATTCAAAGAAGATTATGATTACCAAATCCAGACTTTCTTCTTGTTTTAAGTGTATTTACAAAACCTTACAACCTTTTGCCCAACCATGTTGCCACCTGGTGGAAGACTGGATTCCAGGATTTTGAGGACGAAACAATGTGCGCATTACGAAGAAGAGGGCAGGAAAGTTTTTTACCCATTTCACACGGCAGCTTCAAGGTACTTTTAACTAAGGATCTTTTAGTAAAGAGAGCTGGAGGCCGTCGCACGGCACATAAAGGTCCCTTTAACTAAGGGAGGGCTTATGTTGAAGGGAGCTCTCGCCAACTCGCCTCATCGCTTCACCCATGAACTCGAAATAAAAAAATGACTGATATATGCTGTTGAGTGCTTTATAACAAATTGAATATTTCCAAGTAGCAGTTATTGGATTAAGCCTGAACACAAGCACGGAGCAATATGCTAGTGAGAAACACTCATGCTAGCAGATTCAGCCACCATGTATTCTGTTGAACGTGTCCGTTTCAATATTACAGCCAATTATACAACACAACGGCGTACGCAAATCCAAGCATTGGCATGTTCCTCTCATTTTTAAACGTCTTGAAAGGAGGCATTTTATATTAGAGTGAATCTGTACAATGCCTGCTGCCAGTGGCTTCTTGTATAGCAAAGCAAAACGGTAACTAGAACAAACTAGGTAACGATTTTCGAAGCAGTATTTTACCAGTTCTTTGAGTTTCAAAACACCGTCTGAAACCTTGGGCCCACCATGCAGCTGCAATGCACTGCCGGTCTGAGGAGGCCAAATGCATAAGATTGCGAACCTTTTACAGGACAGCATACGCAAATCGTTCGTGGACAAACCTTTCACTTCAAAACAATACCTCAGCTTCTTCATTGGACCGCCTCAAGGTGCGCTTTGCACCACTCGCTCCAAGCTTATCCGCCATGTAGAAAAAGGCTTTTCTTCCTCGTTTATGCTAGTTCACGAGCTACAAATCGTTACGACAAGGCCGATACAAAAAGTATGGCCAGTACTACCTATTCACACATTCATCCTCCGTTTATTCACCGTGTGATACTGAATGCCATTTACTAAAGTACCTTTAGCTAAGGGACCTTAGCTAAAGGTAGATACTTGCTGCCGTGTGAATGGGGTATTAGAATTAACTTGGGGGCAAAAGATAAGCCACAATAGGAACAAAGGGGACTTTGGGGAAGCCCAATCTAGGTCACTGCTGGACAATGGAGCCAGCAGGGTGTAGGTACCTCAGTCGAAGCAGTGCTTGCGCTTGTTTGAGCACATGCTCGCATTTTCATACCAGAACCTCTTAAACTGGCGATTTCCTAAAAAGGTCAATTAATTCTGCATCGGCTAAACCAGTGGTCCTCAAATGGGGGTCCGTAGACCCTTCGGGGTCTTTGAACGCCTTCTTAGGGTACTGAAAGCCCTCAACCAAACAATATTAAAATTATGCTGACCGTCTTGCATGCACAGCAAGTGAGTATGGTTCTGTTCTAGTACTTCAAAGTAAGTTTGCATACATCGAGTTCTTTATTTACACTTTTGTTATCGTAATCGTCCATTATTTCCCCGTCCTCCCCAGTGGATGAGTCCCCCATCACTTCTGCCAGCAAAGAGGTCCTTAAACATGAATGGTTGAGAACCAAACTATAAATATTAATAGCCTAAAAGATACAGAATTTTTCGAATCTGGATTTCAGCATGATATGTTTTGTAAAAACCTCTAGGAATCCGCCATGCATAGGTAGAAGTTACGCAAAGTACAGAAAAAGGCATGGGTGCCTAACCCTGGGGAGTACTCAATTAAGCACGTGATTCATAACTCATTGACAAAAGAGCGGTTATTGCTACAACACTGAAAAGGCTACTTGCCGCCTGGTAATGCTGCCGTTCTTCGGTGACTTTGGTGAGGTAGTGGATCTTCTGCTTGTGGTTCTGGTGACCCATCAGCTCAGAGAACTTGTGGTGCAACTTGGACAGCTCCGATTCGGTAGCCTGGTTTCTCTCTGCCAGGTGGCGCCTCTCAACGTCATAAAGCTCCAGCTGCAACTAGAAAAAACGAAGTGCCACCGCACATCGTCATTGTTCGGAGAAAGAAAATGAGAAAACTGTACCCATCAAAATTTTGGGGTTTTACGGGCTAAACCGACCAAGGGCATCTGGCACACCCCAGCGGAGGGCACAGGATTAATTCCGATCCCCCAGGGGTCTTGATGTGCAACTGAAATCTCAATTACCGGTGCCTTCTCTGCCAACGAGCCTTCATCAAATTGTAAGCACCTCGGCCAGGATTTGAACTCTCCGCCTGGGGATTCGTAGGCCAGCGCTTTTGGAGCCAGGCTCCAAAAGTACTGGTGTGAAGCGAGTTGGCTCAAAATGCCTACCCACAACGGTGGAAGCAATTTTATCTGGTGTTCAATCCTTCAGCTGCAATAGACCCTCTTTGAGAGTGTGTGCTCTCTGGTAACTGCTCAAGAGTGTTATTTTGGGCATGCATTGGAGACGAGTGCTGTGTCAGCCTCGGTGTGAGCTGAAATCTAACTGCACGCTTCACGCAGGAAACAATGACCAAACCATGGCGGCTGCGGTGTTGCACACTGAACCTTTGGAAAGGTTTTGTTGGTTACTGCCAGAAATTATTTTTTCAATTCAAGGGGAGGGGTGAGAATGCATTCTTTTAGAATTTCAGAAGGTGCTTTTACCCAAGTCAAGCGCTAAATAAGTAACAATCCCAAGGCCCCATTTGGTTCTGAGTCTATTCCTTGCCAAGTCGGAAAACACCATGTTGCGAACCTTCCGATCGTTATTCTGGCAAAACGCTACAGTCCTTTCCCACTAACCTGGAAGGGTGCGACCCTGGCCTGCAGCAATTCATAGTCGTTCTTCCACCTGCATACAAAATACAAAATGGAAGGAGTGAGCATATCAGCTAGCGGCACAGAATTCATTACAACGAAAGTGCCGTATCCAGTGCATCACATAATGTGTGTTAAATTCTTGTTTATGTATATATATATATATATATATTTTTTTTTTTGCAATGTGTATCCCTCTACAATAGTACCCCGAAAAGGTGTTGTAGGTATCGAATAAACAAATGTCGGCAAATACAAGGGGAAACCCTTGTATTTGCCGGGGAAACCGGGAGAAAAGTGGTGTAGAACTCAGCCTACAGTTCCGCTCGCAGAGGTAAACGTTTTTATGGCTTTAACCAAGTGCCGAGTTGCACGCTAAAATATAGCGCATTGCGCTTGCCACATAGCATTTATCCAAGTTAAAGGCCATTTCAGAAAGTGTGCCTCTCTTTAAAATCCATGTATAGTGCTTTAAGGCAGAGACATATTCACCTTTGGGCTTCTGCACAAGAGTCCTCGAGTCGTTTCTGGAGTATGCTCACCTCCCTGAAAACAATATAAAAGTTAAAGGGGTCTGAAAAATTTTACCACAATTCTGAGCGATTTGTCTATCTGGAATCCTTGTCCTTTATGATACAACCCACATTCGTTCTTTTGGTTGTCTAAGTTCATTTACTAGCATAAAAGCGAAAATTTTGGCCTCCCAGAGAACTTCCCTCTCGGTCCTAAAAAGACATCCAACACAATGCTCAGATACTCTTAAGATAGTTGTCTGACTGAGCTCTAGCATCGCCTATTACACCGCGGTCAACTTTTAGGTGTCGAGCCGTACGCCTATACAGTATGGCGCTTCAGCTACGTGACGTGCTACAGAGGAGTTTAGGAAATTGCTCGCAACATCAATTGGTCGAGCTGCAACCCGATACGATCGTCAAAGGACGAGTTGTGAATATGCTCTCACTTTGACTAGTCAACTGCCGATCTGCCTTCAGGAAAAGGAAAATAAAAATGGAAATATGAAACAATCGCCTTTGCGTACAGGTTATCACTAAGAAGGTTGCGGTAAAGAAAAATTAATGGAAAACTCTCAACCATAAAGACGGCCGTGGGGGAATTAAGACGTCCTACGACTACATCCATGGTAAATAAATGGCACAAAACGTATGTGCCAATACAGTGCAACCCACTTATAACGATGCAGTGTATAAAAATGAACAGCTTATTACGATCAGTTTCCAGAGTTTCTAGACTGGAAATGATAAGTTTCTAGTCCAGATACAACGATAATCGGTTCTATCGATTGAAATTTCGGGTTGTCATTATCGTCATAAGTGGGTTGCACTGTAGTTGAGAGGACACCTCTGTGCACGTCCCTCCTTGCTATTCATTTTGCAAAGTCCTGGGTTTGAATCCTCTTGGGGTTTATTTTAGTGCTATGTTTTGTTGTTATTCTAATCCACCATGACATTGTGGAACCGCATTCCACAACAAATGTGAGCCGCGGTGGGACAAGTAGCATGGCTAAAACAGTTACCAAACAACAAAAACCCCCGACACGTCTGAAACTGGAACTGTATTCCAATCAAGTGATGTAGTGGCATCCAACTATTACAAGAACGCCAATAAACAACTGACAGTTTTTATCACTCTCAATTTATTATTTAAAGGGTAATTAAAGTTGAATACCTGTTCTTTTACACAGCTACCACAATGTTTTGTTGCTCGTGCTGCTCTAGGGCGTCGCATGGTTGTTACAGACAGTCCCAAAAATGTGATGTTTAAGCATGGTTAATAAAATGCAGACAATAGTTTGCTGCAATACTTCGAGGCCTAATGAATATTTAAAAAAATAAAATCGGGCAGGTGCATTTTATTTTGAAGACCCCTTTAAAGCAGTGAAAACAAAAATGCCCTTGGCAATGAAGTTTACAAATACAGTGGTGGAACTGACAAGCGGTGATTAGGAGCAGCTCTTGTAGCAGGGTTAAACGGGTTTTGGAGCAGAGATTCCCACTTTTAGAGCAGACAATTTTGAGCTTTCATGTCAAAAAATTTTATACAATCTCTTTGAAAGTTAGCCTGTGGAAAAAACTGCAGTTATTGGAATGTTGGAAGACTAAATAGTAATACCTACCAAGGACCTGGCCTCTGCAATTATTTATTTACTGAACAATCCTATGCCGGCAATTTTGTAGATGTTTCAATTAACCTATTAGGAGTACCGATGGTGCTTCTGTCTGGGTTTGATGTAAAAAGATGTTTTTGCCTACTGTATAGACCTTTTCTGTGTACTCTCGCCTCCAGCCACCTTAATAGGCGTATCCGGTATGGGCGACGAAAAAATAATCCAACGTTTCAACCTGTAAATAGTAAAAAAATAAAGGGGAGGCAAAACGAGAATGGGTGACGGTTACGCTTATATCCTAAATGCCTTCTATTGGCGTGGCGACGGCAAAACAATGTTTTCGCACATACTGGAAGTGACGTCAATTCAAGATGGCGTCGCACTTGCAGAAAAGGTCTATAGGGTATACATCACAGTGACACAATTGTTGAGAGTTCGACATCAAACAAACACTTTTGTGTTGAATGTGTCTCGCACTGCCCTCGCTCGCATTCAACTTGCTGCTGCTCATAGAGCAGCTAAGCAGAGCACAACGCTAATCTCACCAATCGCAACGAGTAGTGCTAGCTATTCATTGTGATCGATGTGAGCACCGTTTGCACAAGAACCGATAATTAACTCTTCATTAGGCATGTGCAAATAATGGATTTTGTGTTCGAAGCAAATTAAAAGTGAACTATGGTTTGAGGGAATATTTTTTAATTGAATATTGGAAAGTTGTGGCACATTGTTCCACGCATTTTACTACTGTTACACCATGCTTAAATGAAAATTCAGCTGAACTCACGAGGGTTGTTCCTAAGCTCCTAATTGCCCACTCGTGAACTCTGTTAAATTTAATCTAGCTATATTTGTAGACTGTAGCCTCAGAATGCCCAGTACCTACATTGGGATGGCAAGGAAACAACAAATGACATAAAATTAAGCATATAAAGGAGCCCAGCCATACCTAAATGAGGGAATTTATAAATCCTACAAGAAAATATTTTCTTTAATTTCGAGTTAAAAAAAAAATAAAAAAAAATAATGAACACAGGTTTTTAGAACATCGCTGCCTAACATATGCCTTTGCATAATAACCACAGTTAAATGCCGATATTACTGCAATGTAATATCAACAATCGCAGTTTTCTATTTTTTGTTTTAATACACCAGGTGCGTGCATGCACCATACTAGTTTGAAGGTGCGTTTTTCTCCTAAGTGTGTGGCTGCGCTGCAGCGAAGCGAGTCGCGAGATAGCTGTGTCTGCTCTGCGGGTATTGCTTCTCCGCAGTGCACCAGTGCTTGAGAAGCTTACTCAAGGGGGCTAACTCGCTGCAATCAACACTTCGAAAAGTATTAATATCGTAGTAATGTGGAAGCGAATATCGGATAACATATTATTTGAAATTACTATTAGAAAATTAGAATATTCATGCAGCCCTACTCTTTGCACATAATACATAGGCATAAAAAAACTGTACTTTCTTCATTTTCAGTGGCATCGCTAAAAATGCCACGTGCAAGACACTTTCAGTTTCCTTTTCGAGAACAGCTTCCTTTTGGCACAGACACTGCGCAAATTGTGCACAAAGGCAGTCTTTGGAGCAGCATGTAGCAGGTAATTCGTTCTGGCAGTTTGGCGCAATTGGCACAGCAGTTCCACCACTGCAAATAGAACCTCAGCTATATCATAGGCAGTCAGACAACACCCAAGAGTGCACAGTTTCATAGCAAACATTTCGAGAACTGCACGACAGGCGCAAATTGTCACAATACCGACCACTGGACTAATGAGCATACAATAGTATCCACACACTTAAGAACAGAGGAAAATAAAAGTGGGTAGTGTACTCACGTGCGATCCTTTTTGGAGTAGTCCTGGAGGTCCTTGCAAAGCTGGCGATTCTCTTGTTCCAGCTCCCGGCTAACGACCACATACCTCTTGGCCTTCCTTTCCAAGGTGGCGATTTGTTCCGCCTTCAAATCGGACGCTTTGCGCAAGTCGTCGCACGCCTTGGCCAAGTCTGTGCGTTCAGCAGCTGCGGCACGCAGCTCTGCCAGCGCGCACTCCAGCTTCCCTGCAGTCCTCGCCTCCCTGTGCTCGGTTTCTTGCACCTGACCCAGCAGCTGCTCTTGTGACGACTGCAGCTCAGTCAGAGCTCGGACCCCCATAGCGATTTGAGTGTGCAGAGTTGCACTGCAAGTGCGTTCCTCTTCAAGCTCCAGAGCCACGTTATGAAGTCGCTCCCTGGTCTCTCGTTCCCTGTTGTAGGAAGCAGAGAGGTCGCTCAGCGCCTTGCCGAGGCCTTGGCACGCGAGTCGTGGTATTAGCATACACGTACGCACGCAAGCACACATGCACACACATAAAAGGACCACGGCACCTCGATTCGCTTTGTGCCGTCGAATCGAGGGGGCGTGAATTATTACACCTCTACATTACGCTCTGCTAAAAGCAAACTAACGCACATGCACAAAAAGATACGTTCGACGCTGGATCCACAAACACCCGAGAAGAGCGACAACAGCCGCGAATCCCGCTCCGACGAAGCTCTCCGAATATAGGCCTAGCAGGCACTCGACTCGGCGCAGCGTTGCTTCGTCGCAAGACCGTCTGCCTACGACCGGCTGGCGTACTGAATGGAATATGCCCGCGCTACCCTTGTGGACCCTTCCGTATTATAGTTTGATCGCTGACCTCAATTTTAGGTTAAGAGGTGAGGTCAATCTCTTCCCCTTGTTTTCCCAGGCAGTGTTGACGAACCAGCGTTCGTTGCCAACGAACGCTGCCAACGCACGCATCCCTGCCCTGCCCCCTGCCCCCTGCCCCCCCCGGTTCCGGAGCCCCTGTCACAGCGGGCTCCGTGGTCTTTCGCTCGGATCGTTACGCTGCAAGGGTTCGCTTCGGCGCGAGGAAAAGCGCGCTAGAGCACGCGAGAAACATCCGTCGAGGCGAAGGGTGTACTTACATGTTAGCCGGGTTTAAATAAAAGGTTAAAAAAAAACGTTAAAATAAAAAATAAATAATTAATAAAAGGTTAAAACAGCGCAAAAGACAACGGACAGGGTAAAGAAGGACACAGTCAGAGCGCTGACTCGCAACTAAACAGCAGCAGGGAGATCATAGAGTCATTCGCCATGAACACAGCAAAAAACAATGTGTCAAACCCTTCCCTCCTGCCGACAAAAACTGAGGTTGAATTTCTAAAATCCGAGATAAACCCACCTCTCTGATTTTCACTTTGCGTTTTTTATCTCCCCTTCTCCCCACTTCCCCTCCTGGGTATAGTCGGCTGCTCGCTGTGGAGAGTTTACTCGTCTGTTGCTTGTTGAAAGATGTGGTTGTGTTGTCCCTGTTTTAATTGTTTTATTTGTTCTTCATCCATGACATGAACCAACACGCTCTTCTCCTAAGCAAGCTTATGAACAACGCACCAGTAATGTGCCTTCATCGGATTTCAAACCTGCAGACAAGGGACCTAAAGTTTACTTTGGGGCAACCTACGCAGTTTTACACGGTACGACTTTCAGGTACGAGACCAGCCGCCACTACAAGCGAGTCGTTGGTAGCACCACCACATCTTTGTATTAATAATATTTAAGACCTTATACGATTAAACTTTCTTCACACTTTGTCAAATTTCTGTTCAAAAGTTCGAAATTCGTCAAAATTCTGTATGTTTCACTTTGAACAATTTTTCCCCTTGAAGTGGAAACCTCAAAGATTATTTTTCGGTTTCATTCCAATATGAAGAAAATTATCATGTTTCGGTGTGATTCCGGTTTGCACACGAATAAGTTTTTTTCTGATGTTTGGTTTTCTTTTCCATTCAATGCCCTGGTGCCCAACAGCTCATTACTCCTCAAAACCTTAATCCCCCCCTTTTTTTTTCCTTTATGAAGAGTTGTGTTATCATTCCATGTGACTGCAGAAAACAGAGTGAGGGAAGCCCTGAGCGACAGTCTCGAGATTACGAGTCACAAATATTCTTTTTAATGTTGGGACCTTCTTTGTAGTGTTTCTGTGAACTCCGGAAAAACGTAAACACCCTGGTGCTTTACGATTCGAAATACGATAACATAATCAATGGCTTAAAAGAAACAATATTTATGTCATCTTCAATGTTATCGTCTTTTGAATTGTAGAATATAAACTCTTTGTCACTGGCCCGTCAGGTGTACTAATTTCAGGGAATTAGGTGCCAAATGTAACAAAATAAGAAGCACAACCGTGCTTGCAACGTTACATCGCGCAAAAGGTCTCCATACCAACACAAGTCTTTAGTAGAGTTGATAAATACAACGTCGTTCGTGTGCTAAGCTTCTACACTCCGCATATTACAACTTGTTCAATTTTGTCTTTCGGCACCGTCGAACAATTCTATTCGATCCGAACGTTTCATTCCCCTGTGTAGCTTCCATTATTTCCTTTTTTTAAGGCCGCTTAAGATGATGAAAACGCCCTGTGATCCATGCTTTAAGGAATATCTTCTGATACATGCACAAGAAATCTTCATGAATCGTGAATACATACCGTTGTGTTGCAGCGGGCGACTGCTCAGATTCAAATCACTTCACTCCCAAATGTATTTTCAGCTCTAATTAAATAGAAGGGCACGCTACAGTTTTATTTATAGCATGTCGACTTTTCAGAAATCTCGTGTCGAATTATAGTGGTGTACGAGCTTACAACTAAATACAGTAACGTAGAATGCCGTTAACTTGACCACTGCAGCTTCAGCAGCCTCAACTGGTCGCAGCCATTTTGCTTGTTGTCGATTTCGTTTCTGTTCGTTCGTAGTCGTTAGGTTCGTTAACATTACGTTAACGTATTAAAGCATTAAATATATTACGATAAATGATAAATAACAATTTTAGTTAAATGTTTTGTTTTGGTTTACTTATAACGAACATAATAAACAACCAAAGTTGATGTGCGAAACTTTCTGCATCATAAAATTTAAACAATAGAATAACTGTCATGGCTGCGCCCATCGTCTGTCTGGCTACACCACGACGGAAGAAGCATTTCGTTTCTTCCACCGTGGGCTACACCAAGGAGGGCTACGTGAACCTACGTCGCCTGCGGACTGCGTCCCTTGGCAAGTCTGCTCCTATTGCTTATTAAGTGACGCTATGCTCCGATATATGTGAAACATTTTTATGTAACCTTTGGGTACGAGCATAGGTATTACCGTATTGATGTCGCTGGCCTGTAATAAGGCGGAGCCTCCGGGGCAATAACGGGGGCGCGCGTTAACCCACCCGCCGCGCTGCGCTTTACGCCGCTTCGCGGCGACAGTCTGAGGCGGCTCATTACAAAAAATATGAACCCACATGTGTATGTGTATTGGCCCACACGTGAACGCCGCTTTGCGGCGCCCAACTATTCGCTAAAGTATCATTCGGTGAACCGCCCCCTCAGGAGGCTCCGCCTTATTACAGCCAGCGACATCAACACCCGAGCATCAAGTCTGATTTTAGCCATATAATGAGTACAGAAACAATCGTGGTGCGCATTTCGCATGCCGATCAAAAACAAATACCCAAATAGCAGGCTGCCAGCCTTAATATGATTAAACTTCAGAATTTGTTGCGGAGTTTCTAACGGGCAGAAAGAGATCGGTACAGCCCCGTTTGATTTCATGTTGCTGAAGGCAGATTTCGAGGCAGTGACACATTTTAATTCTAATTTCTTTGCACAAGAGATTGGTGCGTACACGACAACGCGCAAGGCTAGGCAGAAAGGTTGCAACCCTTACGCATGTGTGACTGCTAGCCGGCCACCGTGTACGCTCGAGCCAGTACATGGATCATATTAAATTTTCCAGGATAGAAGAATACACATAATTAATCAGGTGGCATGTACGATGACACTAGTATCTCAGACCAAATTACTTGAAAACATGCTTATCCAGGTGTCAGTTTTGTTATCAGTGCCTAACCCACGTTTGCAGGTCTCGTATCTGTGTCTGCAGACTTTGTATACATGCCTTGCTGGGACTGGACATTTCATTGAACTCCGTTTTGTCGAACGCCGTTTCATCGAAGCCGTTTCATTGAACGGCGTTTCATCGAAGCCGTTTCATCGACCGCCGTTTTATCGAACGCCGTCTTATCCAACGCCATGGTGGCGGTCTCGCTTCCTGAAGCTGGTCGGAGGTGCCCATTTCAGGTTCTGGAAGTTTTTGACTTGCATCGCCACAGAACATCAACTGACGGTAGACAAGCTGGAGGCGATGCTGAGTTCCCAAAAGCCTCCTCGCCAGAAGATGGCCATAGCGGCAAGGGATGAGAAGGTCCGCCTTTTTTATGAGAACTGACGGACCATGGCTGTGGGGAACTTTTAGAGAGCAATCGCTCATCATTTGAAACGGTGAATGGCTGTCGCACGAACACATGAACCCCCGAAAGTTTTCAAATAAAATTTGATGTGACATACTTACTTTTGACTCGACTGAGTCTTAAAACTAAAAAAAGAAAACAATGTTTCATTGTAGTTTCATAAATATAGCACCTCAGCTTTAGCAACTGCAAGCTTCGGGCAGTAAAAAAGCATCAATACAAAGACATGAGAGGCTAGGAGGCTTACATGGCTAAAGTTGTTGCGCCTCTGGAAAACCTAAGTCGCCTTCTGGCCTCCATGAGTTGGAGTGCGCTCTTACCGGGAGTGCGACTTTTTATTTATTTGTTACAATACCCTCAAGGGCCATCGGGTAATACAGAAAGGGTGAACAGATAAGCACAATCTTCAAAACAAACATAAAGATCGGTACAAATATCCTCATGGGTTACTTGCCATAAAATAAATTGTAACAGCTACAAGTTTGGACATTAAAAACCCTGACGATGAAATGGGTGAATGAGACGAAAATGCACTCGATCCGTGCATAAAAGAACATCTTTCACACTTTTTATTTAAAAGACATTCAATGAAACTCCCATCAGCGATTCAATGAAACGTCCATTTTTTCGATGAAACAGCGTTTGACGAAACGGCGTTCGATGAAACAGTGTTCGATGAAATGTCCGGGAACCATGCCTTGCACGGGGCGTCATATGGCACCATACCAGCTGCCATTGCTGCACCGTACCTTGTGCAGCATAGATTTCGCACCATTCAATTTGTTTCTTTCGGCAAGCCTTGCCCAGAAGACAAATTTGATGGTGTCAAATGTATGCTGCAGAAGGTACAGAAACAGGCGCATGGTATGGAGCAATGGCAGCTGATGTGAGGTCAATGCAAGCCATGTATACCTGGGCGCATGTGTGAACTCAGAGAGAGGAGGAAAGGGAAAGGCACCATTTTTGGGGGCTCTCTCGTCCACTCAGTCCCTCAGACAGGATTGGTTTGGCTTGACTACCTCCGTTATTCTCATGGCTTGGCTTCATAATTGTTATGCCTCATCACTGTGCAGCTGTAGGTTGTGCAAATAGCAGCAAAAATGGTTCAAATGAAAATTTTTATAAGGTTTCAGTAGCCTTTTGCGGGTGGTGCACGAAAGCACCCAATGTGAAGCACCCTGCCCCTTTTGCCCTGCTTTCAAGAGCTCGTGTTTCAGA